ACTTACATAGGCCAGAGAGAGCTACTGCCTTAGCATCAGTCTGGCTTTGAATCTCATCCCGCATACTAGCCCTGTGGCCTTGTGTAAGCCACTACCTCTCTAAGCCCGTGCCTCTTCCTGTGTAAAACGGGGATACTGACGTGCCTGCTTCACGGAGCTGCAGCAGCATCAAGAGTTGAAATAAAAAACACGTGTCAAGCGCTCAGCAGAGCACCCCGCACGAGCAAGTGCATGAGAAATGCTGGCTGCTGAGATGCTGAGACCAGTGACGGAGGCTCTAGTGAGCAGGCCCCTTGTCAAAAGCAGCCCTTCTGAGGAAGACTGTGAGTAAGCCACCGCCCCAGACCAAGGATTCCTGGAGAATCTCCAGTGATGTTGCTGCCTGGGGCAACAGGAAAAGGAGGAGGCAATTATACAGCGTGTAACGAAAATAACTTCATTCCTAACACCTTTCCCTGCTGGGCCACTTGGAATCCAAACAGCAACAACAAGGTGGGGTGGGGAGGAGAAGGGCAAGCACGTTCTAAAGGAGCCCAGTGAACGGACAGGCCCCAGGACTCACTTTGGCCCCCAGACATCTTCAGGGGATTGTCCTTGGGGCCTGGGCTGCTGTTCTGAACACTGGGCTGCACACCGAGTGGCCGTGCCTGGAGGGCAGGGCTGCCAGGCTGGTGGGGGCCTATTGACAGGGCTGACACTGCCTGACTTCACTCACCATCTTGTGTCTGGGAGCAGGCTGCCATCACTCAGAGGGCTCCAGGGAAAGCCAGGGTCCTCCCTCCATCTGATCCCCACCACTGCAGAAAACAAAGAATTCCCTGTCTTCTCTTGGAAAAAGCAAAGATCCCTACAGGTGCCATCAGATTATGACGAAATTGCCCAAACTGCACTAAGCCAATGCCTTATACGTTCATACCTAACATCAGCCTCTCCCGAGGGCCCCGAAGAGTTCGCTTCTCAGCTCCCACCCCCATACCCTGCCCCCACACTCTCCCAGATGCCCAGTGGACTCCAGGTCTCAGACTTGGGGACACGCAGCAGCACAGCCTCTCCAGGGGATGGGGGAGTACCCAGTACGTCAACTATGGCTCTTCCCTGTACACTGGAGCCAGCAAGGACCTCTGCTCCTCCACAGGGAGCCGTTCCCAAGTCTCCCAGGGAGAGAGGAGCTCGCCCTCCCAGGGGACATCCCAGCTGACAAGGGTGTTGATTTAACCCACTTATCAAATTGAGGCGAAAGGGGAAAGAAGAGGGAATACGTGCAGACCAGAAGGACAAGCTCTCCTTTCTCCGGACCCAAACAGGAATAAACCAAGTGGCTGAATCTTGCAGTTCTACGCTTCCACCCACACACTGACACTATAATCAAGCTGCTTTCCAAGCCCGTGCATTTAGATAATGTGATTCTATTATTTAAAAAAGTAAAAAAGAAATCTTCAATTACATCGGTGATGGTGTCAGGTGAGAGGCAGGATGTATTAACATTGGGTTCCGCACTATTAGAGTAATTAAAAGACTGGCGATAACAGTCTGTCACCCAGAACTGGTGAATAAGCAACTAGCACACCTTTAGTGGCTCCATTTAGTACCCTGGAGAGCTGGACGGCTGCTACATATTCCCAAAGCCAAATCATTGAGTCCTCCCAAGGCCATAAGATGTCCTATTGGAGGTGAGGAGGAAAATGTCCTGTTGAGGTGCAACTAAATGAGAGGCCACCTCCAGGGGAGGGTGTCTGCTGAGAAGCTGAACCAAACTGTGCCTTTCTGCTGTCTGTGGTTTCCAAGCTCTGTCTGGATGCAGGATGGGTGCTCTTTTGCTAAGCAGAGCTTCTGATTAGGTGGAGAAGCTTTGGTTGCTGAGCCTAACCCTGGTGCTTTGGAACTAGAAAGCTTACACCACTCCTTTTTGCAGAACTTAAATAATGGGAGAGAGACCACTACATTTCTGGATGAAAGGAAAATCTTTCCTGTTTGGAGTCTGAGGCATTCAAGGATGACCTCTGAGGAGCCCAAATAATCTAAGGTAACTAAGATGTCCCAGCAGAATGAGGCTGACGAGGCAGCCATCCTAAGTGATTTTCAAGACCTTGAATCTGAGGTTACTATTACCTGTGCTACACAACCTGGTGCTTGGGGTCCTGGCACGGTAAAACCTCAACTTTGATCCTTCTTTCCCTTCCTAGGTGCTGAAACACTTTCACTGTGGGAGAATTATGGGTATTATGCCCCAAGGCAGAGAGGAAAAAACAAACAAACAAACAAAAAACGGAGGGTGGCAGGTCAGAAAATATGAATCACTGGAAGGAAAGGGGTTGCTTCAAAGAAGGCTCATCATTCTCATTCTCTACCTCCCCAGTCCATGCCATCTGCTTGGCGATGCTTCTTCTACACCGAAATGAGACTTTCATTTGTAGGGAAGATGGAGACAGTTGTTTCCAGGCCGAGTCCACATGCTTTTCCCCTTACACATGTTTATCCAGAGAACAGTGTAACCTCAGTCCTGTCTAAATTCACCAGCTCAGTCCCAGGTACATATGAGGCCATATTTTCTGTGAGCCCCAGGACTCCCTTTGTTTCCCCTGGTATAGGGGGAACAGAAGAGCTTCTCTCAAGTTCAGGTTTGCCTGCATCATAGCTTGTTCTAGACAAAAGTAATTTAGCCTTGCATGTGAAGGTAGAAGTCTCACTAGTGCACAAGCAGCATTACTGGGCTCACCCCTACCAGCTCCCCAGCTTACAGAGCACCAGAACGGGATCAATACAGTCAATGTGTCACTGCCGGCAGGGCAAGAGTGGCCACCAGCCTTGGGGAACATGACGTACTACTAAGCTGAACTAATCACTCCTCGGTATTTCAGGAGCCGTTGGATTAGCAGATCACAGCGCATACATAATGAAAGACATTAATTCCCTCAGAAGGGGAGGGTAGGAGGAACACATGGGTTGGCCCCAGAGGGGGACAGTTAGTATATATACAGATCAATCTGAAGCCATACTGGAAATTCTTAGAGAAGTCAAAAATCTATTTTAGGAAGAAGAAAAGTCCAGAAAGATCCTGGAGCAGAGGAGATTGGGCTGAACCTTTTATTGCAGCAAAGAGATTTAATCAGGGGGATGATACCTCCATCAACAACAGTCCCACGCCTGAAAAATGTAACATGTATAACTGCAAGAGGCAAGAAGGGATTGATGAAAGACTCCAATCATGTTCCTTCCAGTTAAAGGAGTTAAAGTTATATGAGAGGAAATTTCTTAACCCAGTGTACATATGAATCACCCAGAAATATAGCTAAAATATGCAGTGCATTCCTGGGCCTCAGCCTGAGATTCTCATTCAGCAGTTCTTCCAGGAACAACCAAAAATATGCAATTTAACCAGATTCTCAGGTGATTCAGATGCAAGAAGTTCATTAAAATGAAAAATTACCTTGGAAAATGCCCTAGACTTCTACAATAAAGCAGAGTCCCCCATTTCCCAGGCACCTCTCATCCCCAGGCTGTGCAGGTACGGTAGAAGGAACTCAGAATGTTCTTCAAGAGAACAAGGCTGGGACTACCATCGCCCTCACTTGGCTTTAGGTCTAACCCTCTCAAACCTCTTTTGTCAGATGTTTGATTTCAGAGAGAGCATTACTTCCCCCACCTCACACATATACCAGGAATTTTGAACACTAAGCAGAGATGTAAAAGGCAGGCGGCTTGGGACCCAGCAAACCACCCTCTGATTCTCTTGCAATTGGTCACATTTACCATGGCTTCTCTCTCTGCCCGCCTTCATCAAACAGCAGCAACAGGGGGAAAGATGAGAAGAATGATTTCTTTTTCAAGTGGTCCTAATTCTGCAGGATGAATCAGGGTTAAGCCTAGTATTTGCATCCAAAGGAGAGAGAATCACTGAAAATCTAGTTCCTGGGGAGGAACAAGGATTAGGCTGAAGGGTTTGCAGCCTGGTCAAAATTCAGAAGTGATTGGGTCTGCAGAGGAAAATGGAAAGATATCCGCAGAGTGTCTTGCACTTCACCTACCTCAGGAGCCCCCAGTACAAAAAGTAGAGGGGTGCCAGGTGGGGCAATAGTGACTCGCTCAGACAGCTTCCCTGTGAAGGACCTGCCCCTGCGGGCTGCCGTGCTGGGACTGGTGTCCATGGCGAAGCCTGTTGTGTACACGTACACACAGCTCCTTACCTCTGCTCCTCCAGAGCAACAGCACCCAGGCGCCCGCCTCAGACAGGGAGGGGGCAGGCCCCTGTCTGGCACTTAGCGCTGCCTCTTGCCTCCGCATCCCGCCCTAACAAGGCTCTTGGTCCACTCCAGAGTCGGACAGTCACTCTCCACCACCGATCCCACCATCACACCCATTCTCAAGTCTAGACAGGTCTGCAACCCCAGCGCCGTCTTCCAGGGGACTGAGCGGTGGCGAGGCGGAACGCTGGTTCAGGACCACGGACAGCGGCACACTGGCCAGCAGCGGGGTGGAGCCAGAACTCGCTTCTCCCTCATCCTGGGCTCCTGTCCTCAGAAACGGAAATGTCTGGGGTCGCACCACCGCAGAGTTGCGGAAAACAGCCCTTCTCCTTCTCTGGCGGTTGGAACCTGGGGCCGCGCTCCCTGGGGCCCCGGGCTCGGGCGCCGGGCAGAAAGCGCCCCCCTGAGATCGCCCTCCGAAGCTCGGCTGGGCGGGCTCGCTCCCGGCGCCCCTCGGAGGCTGCCCGAGCCCTGCCCGCTCGAGCCCGGAGAGACGCCCCGGGCGGCGCGGAGAACGCGAGCGTGGGGAGGAGGGGGGTGGCAGCCGCTGCGTTCCGGCCGGCGCCCCCTCGCACCCCTAACAAGCGGCCCGACGGGAAGTCCGCGGAGAGCCCGACCGCAGGCGGAGCAGTCTGAGGCAGATCGCGCCGGCGGCCAAACTTCTGGCCCGGCCGCACCAGCCTCCCAGCTCCCTCCTCCTCGCCCTGCGACTTGCCTGGCCCGGGGCCGCCCGTCGCCCACCCTGCTGGCGCTTACCTTCAAGCCATAGGGAGCACCGGCGCAGAGACGGCGCGGGCGGCTCGAGGCTTCCGGCTCCCGCCGCATCCACGCGCGGCCGCCCCTCCGTCAGCCGTCTGGGCCGCCCCTTTCCTCGGGGGTCCCCGGCTCCCGGCCCCGCCGCGCCGTGCAGAGCCCCGGCGGGAAGCCGCTCGGCCGGCTCCGGCCTGCGGGGAGCGGTGGACCGGCAGCGGCGGGGCGGGGCGGGGCCGGACGCGGGTTTGGGCGTGCGGCGCAGGGACCGGGCGTGGAGGCGGCGCGGTGCGCGCGGAGGGCGGCCAGCTCCGGCTCTGATCCTGGACAGCTCCGCGGCGCCCGTGCGCGGGGAGCGTGGGAGGGAGGGGCGGGGCCGCCCTGGCCACGGGGCGCCCCGGGGCCCCGCCCCTGGGACAGGCCCCGCCTTGCCTTAGTGTGCGCGGGGGTGCGAGCTCCGATCGCCTGAGCTTGGAGGGAGCGGCGTGGGGGTGGGGGATGCCGCCATCCCTGGCTTTGAGGCAGGAACTGAGCAGTCGACTACCCGTTGCGCTCGCCACAGCCCCGCAAGTCACACCCCGTATATGCAGGGCTGCCGTGACAAGCGTCTTCATCGCCTGCTCGTCTGTTCCCTCCTTTGAGAAGGCAGAGAACAAGGACTGGGGGGCTGGGGGCGGGGGTAGTCCATCCAGGAGTCCCGTAAGGAGGAGAGGTCCAAGGTCCGTTCTCTGACCTCTGCTCTCGGAAACCCTGTGGTCAGCCCCCTTTTGTTGCTTCACTCAGGGGAAAGTCTGCTTGGAGTTGACCTGAAATAAAGATTCAAAGAGGGGCCTCCGGGGTTCCGGTTCACCTTTAAATCCAAACGGAGGTGGGGTGGGAGGAAAGGCGGCAGTGGGGAGGGCTGCTCCACTGAGGTCCTCCGCCCAGTATCATCTGGGCTGCAGAGAGTGTCCTCCCCCCATTACCACCCCCTTCCCTTTCTTTCTTCTTTAGGAGTCACTTACTGACTAGACCCCCTTTGCTGGTCTCTATGTCAGATTCCCGGGTCACAGAGAGGAATAAAACTATGTCCTGCCAGTGCAGAGTGGAGACCTCCAGCAAACAGGGTAACATACCACTGCGGCTCCACAGGAGCCATGGAGCACAAACTAGAGGCCGCACAGGGGGCCGGCCATGGAAGAGGCCTCGTTCCACGGTGAGAAGGCAGCACAGCATTTCAGGCAGAGGGAGCAGCTCCGGCCAAGGACTGACCTGCATGGCAGGGAGTCGGCCCTTGGCTGGAGTCAAGCCACTCTGGGCCACAAAGAGTGAGTTTTATTTCCTCCAATGACCCACACAATTATAGAAAATTGAATTGCAAAGGGCCTTGGCATTCATCTAATCCTCACTTTCATTCTCGGGAAGGGAATTGGAATGGCGGTCAAGATTCCACAGATCAGCGCTGGACCACCCCCCATCTGCCATGCACAGGCTGCCCTTCCCTCCCATGCAACCATCTTTTGGAGGAAATTGGAGGAGGAGTAAGTGGACATGGTATGCCTCTTCCCCTCCTCCTTGCCTTTGCAAGCTTCACAGGGAAATATTACAGCAATCGGGAATCCTAACATTTTGACATATTTGCTTTCAAAGCAATAAAACATTACAGACATAGTTGGAACTCCAGTGTTCCTCTCTGTCTACCCTTAGGCCACCCTTTCCAGGCTTAATCCACTTAAGGAAGGACTGGGTGCCTGCCAGCTCAGCACCTCTGCATGGGTCCAGGGACAGAGCCACCAAGCAGAGAGACCACCCCTCTCCTGACTAGTCAGAGGACTTGGATTGGTGCCCTGTCACCTACCATTTGTGTGACCTTGGCTAAATCATAGAATCTTGCTGAGCCTCAGATTCCCCATTTTAATTGGATTTAGAAGTACCTTTCTCTCCGGCTACATTGAGGATAACAGATGAGGGTGGGTGTTTGACAAACTGAAACCTGGCTGCTCCGAGGTGGAGAGAGTGACTTGCTCATTCAAGTGGCAGGAGAGAGAGCACGATGTGACCCCGTGGGGTGCGCCAACCCAAGGACACTGCAGTTCTGCGCTGCCTTTCGCGATCTTGCATGGCTGAGTGGGCTGCGTGCTGTGCAGCGTGCTGGGGCGAGAGGGAGGGATCGTCTAGTGTTCAATTAGCAAACACCTCGCTCCTGAAACAACAGCACAGCAAACGGTGCACTCCGGATGGCAGGGAACATCTGAGGCCAGCGGGAACTGAGCAGAGGTTCCCCACTTCCAGCGCCGTCGGGGCTCTCCAGAGGTCGTTCAGTGCCTCCCCACCGCCAGGCACAACTGTACTGGGTTCAAGTAGGCCAGGCGGGGGCAGGGTGAGACTTCTCCTTATAGCTTTCCTCTGAGTTTCTCATCTATATGTTCCAGAGTCTGAGTGAGGAAGTTCTTACCACCCTTTTGTTGAAGGTGGTAAGCGAATGGTTGGTAGTTAGGGGTAGGAGATGGGTGGAGGCAGGTGGGGGTTTTGTGGGCCAGTGGGAACGAGGATAAAAAGAACTGAGCCCGCAGATAATAAGGAATATCTAGAACTTCCTTTTGTGCCCCCAAAACTGCCTCCAAGCTGGGGAATGAGGCATGGCTGGGGCTTGTTGAAATCTGATGCCCCCACACACTGTCACAGCCCTTCTGAAAAAAAAAAAAAAAACACAAAAAACGAGGTGCCTTCCCTGGAGGGGTCAGAAGCAGAGCAGGATGAGGGGTGCAGCCTCGGGACTCTGCATAAGTCCAAACTCTGCGACCTGGGAAGTTCTAAATATCTCTGAGCCCCAGTTTCCTCCGCTGTAAAATGAGGATAGAGATCCATACAGCTGGGTTATCGTGAGTTTAAGTGTGAAGGACAACCTACACCCCCTGGTGCTCAAGGTACTTTGTGCGTTCCCCCCTCTTACAGAGAACTTCAGCTGGAGGACGTGCAGACGCCCTCTGCGGGGTTCGAGCTCCAGACTGCCAGACCTACTTTGCAGGTGGAGACTGAGTCCCTATTTTCAAGCTCTGGGAATTTTTTCTTTTCACATCCTCTGTCTTTTGTCATTTTGTTCTTATCCCATTTGCACATGACTCTGACAATGCTACGGTGGCAAGCCTGAGCCAGAGGTGTGGGGCAAAAGCAAATGAACACGTTCTTCTTATACTTGATTATTTCTCTCAAAGTGCAGAAAACCCCAGTGAGATGCAGAGTTCTTGGTTACTGATGCTGAGAGATCCACAGCCCATGTCAGAGTAATCTAGTGGCAGGACTGAAAGCAGGTGAGGCTAGTCCTCCCAAAGGAGGGATGCGGAAGGAGGGGATCCTTTTAAAAAGACAGAGGGTGAGAGCACCATCTCTGACCAAGACAGGTGGGCGGAGAGAGTTCCCTGAGAGTTTTGACATCTGCACACACAATCACCCTTAGGGACGGATTCCTCACTGGTAGACTGCAGTGCGCTGTTCTCCCATCCGAGTGAAATGGCCATTGGACATGTTCTTTGCATCCTCCTAGTTTGGAACGATGAAGAATACAGGTGTGGCCCTGACTGGTTTGACTCAGCAGTTAGAGCGTCGGCCTGCAGACTAATGAGTCATGGGTTTGATGCCGGTCAAGGGCACGTACCTCCATTGCGGTTCGGCCTCGGCCTTCGTTGGGGTTATACGGGAGGCAATCAATTGATGTGTTCCTTTCACATCAATGTTTCTCTCTCTCTATCTTCCTCCCCCTCTATCTGAACTCAATGGAAAAATGTCCTCTGGTGAGGATACAAAAAAAATACAGGTGTGACCCGCTTTATGAGATTCTCTTATACAATTCTTCAGAGTTATGCAACAGAAAAATTAAAGCTCAATTTTATAAATTGATTTAATTGCTTGATCAGAAGAGATCATAAAAATATACACCTTGTTCACAGCACCCTTATTCACAGTAGCCGAAAGGTAGAGGCACCCCAAGTGTCCCCTGAAGGGTAAATGAGAAACAAAATGTGGCATAGCCATACAATGGGATGTCATCAGCTTTAAAAAGGCATGAAATTGGTCACATGCTTCAAGGATGATGAACTTTGAGGACATTATGCTCAGTAAAGTAATCCAGTCACAAAAGGACAAATGCTGTATGATTCCACCTCTATGCGGTGCCCAGAAAAGCCGGAGAGTGGAGTGGGGTGCCAGGGGCTGGAAGGAGGGGTGAATAGGGTCAGTGTTCGAAGGCACAGAGTTTCAGTTAGGAAAATAAAAAAGTCTTGGAGACAGCAGGGTAATGATGGTTGCACAACAGTGTGAACACACTCACAGCCTCTGAACTGCACACTTAAAAAGGGTTAAGAAGTTAAATTATATGATGTGGATTTTACTACAACACAAATATATCGAACTTGGTTTCAGGGGTCACTGCATTTGCCATCTATGTGAAAACAAAATAAAACATCTTGGAAATTACTAGGTAAGTAGATGGAGAAGTGATTGGATTTAAAAAACAATCACGTATATAATTTCTGAAGTTGTATTTAGGGAAGTACAGTCAGTACCTACTGCTTAGGATTTTTTCAGCCTTCTCTATAGTTAATAAAGCATCTTCTCATCTGTGGTCTCATTTGTTTCCGATAGTCTGGGCAGGTCAAGGATATTAATTCTGGACAGCACTGGACAGCACTGGGAAGGCTGTTACAGGGCTCACCCTTCCAGAAGACGGACCGGCACCGAAACTAGGATGTTTCTGATAGTCTGCAAATGCGAGGACCCTCGACCACTCAGGTTTGAATGGTGTGCAGTGCAGAGGAAGCTCCCAATAGGGGAGAAATGCTCAATCCAAGCTTCCTTTATTGCGGGCGAGCAGATCGGGAGCAGAGTTCTGCAAGCCAACCGGCAGCATGTGGGATTCTTTTCCTCCGGACCTGCTCCTCTGCGTGTGCTCGCCAGAGCCGGGGACTGTCCCTGCCGCTCGCACCTTCGCTGCCTCCGGCGCAGTCGGAGTGCCAGTCAGGGACTGTGGATGTAGAAAACAGTTTGGCAGATTAAGCAGAAAAGGAATTCACTGAAGATATTTTCGTAGCTTACGGAGTCACAGGGGAGATTATAGAACCAGGCTGGTGAAACAGGCAGGAACAAAAGAGCCTGATGCTGTGCGGACTTTGACCAAATCCAGCCTACACAGCACTCCAGGGGGAGCTTTGCCATTGCGGGCAAATGCTGGGCGCCAGATGGCATGGCCACACTGCTGGCACCGGACACTGGCATCCCCTGGAACTCTGTCGTGCTGCTTCCGGAAATGGAAAGTGGTGGGGATTTGTGCTGCCTCCACAGTGG